GAAATCACCTTGATTCGGCTAATTAAAAAACTTGACAGTGCTTCTTATGACATTCTTGTGTTCATCTGCTGATAATACCTACGGTTGTCACCTGCGTTTCTCTACTATACACAAAAGATGATGAACATTGTATTTCATCTCACGAATAGTTTTGTATATTTCAGACAAGTGGCCTGATGTTGGTTCTATGTATCTTATCATCTTTAGACTTAACCGAACTTTCTCTGACTGTGAGGAGGTTGGTCGCACAAGAGAGATTTATGTGAAAGCCATGCTGTGAACGAGACAATATAGTGTTGCTCTCTAAGTGAAATGTAATGGCTTTCTTGATTAATCTTTCTAGGATTTTTACCACAGTAGTAGTCAAACTTAACGGTCTCTAATTTGATGGATGCTGCCTAGAACCTACCTTGTAGATATCTGTGACGATGGCATTCTTCCAATTGGTTATTGGAGCTAATGTCTAGCATATCAGTCAGTATAAGTCCCAGATCTTTTTCTGTGGTCTTCTGGAAAAGTTGCGTTCTACAGAGAGAGGAGGATACTTTCTGAGAGTCAGGGGTGCGGTGAAATGTGTTCCGACATCTATCCCAACTAAATGCTATCCCGTTATTATCCATCCACTCTGAAAGTATCTCAGACCACTTTGCAGTGCACTCGGTCCTGCTTCAGATGTCACAACTCTCCACAAATTAACATCTTCAGCGAAAAGCAGAAACAGGGAGCTGAGATTCATTGGAAGATCGTTCACAAAAAGAAGGAATAGCAGCAGACCTAGAATCGCTCTTTGTAATATATCGAAGGATCATGCCTTCCAAGCTGAGCAAACTGTGTGGACTTTTGTGCAGAATTCTTTGCCACCTAAATAGTCCTATAGCCAGGAGAGCACTGACCATTGATACTCAAGCATCACTTAATGTTCCATTTTCGTCCAAGTAACCCCTGACATGGTCATCTACCAGGCTGTTCATTATATTTGACATCAATGGTAGAAGTGCTATAGGTCGGTAGCATTTCGGGTTCTGCCTGTCTCTTTCTTTGAAGACGGGAGAGAGAATAGCACGTTCCCACTCTCGTGGATGCATGTGTTTTTCTAAGGAGTGCTGAAACAGATTATGGAGCTGACAGCGAAAGGTAACGGCGCACTGTTTCAACACACTCGGCTGGATTTCGTCGCATCCCGGTTATTTCCCTGAGCGGAGCTTTGACAGCTTGCCTTTATTTCATGCAACTCTACTGCGTTGAGTGGTCTTGACGGTTGCTAGGGCATTTGAAAATTTTGGTCGTGTGACGGCATGTTCATTTGTGTCGAAGGTGGGGCTAAAGGTTTCGGCCAGCTCTAGTCCATAGAGTTTCCCCCCCTTCAGACCTTTCACAACGTAAACTCCCTGACTAGTAAATTTTCTCTCTGCCATGAATCGACACAGGCTTTTAGGGTTCGCCTCAAGTTTCTGGTCAAGGTTCGTCTGAAACGACCTACAGTTCCACTTCACTTCCATGTTGCATGGGTTTCTTAGAGCCATACACGCAGTATGACCTGACTCTTCTCTGAAGGCCCTCAAGTTATGCCATGCTTTCCTCTTTGCTTTTAAGAGGCATTGATTCCCTCTTGTCAGCCATGAGGTTCGCTTCTTTGCTATTGTTGTAACTACTGTGATGTATTCAGAGATAGCCCCCTTGATGATGTCCCTCACTAGTTCTCAGTGTTGATCAATCGAAAAGGTAATCCACACCTACGCCCGTAGTGCTGTCGACAGATATTGGTGCATCTCTATGTAGTTTCCACTGCTATGATAAAGACAGGGGTGAGATCCCTCCCACGACACTTGTTTACTCAAAACCACATCTGACACTACCATACCACGTATAAAACATTAGGGAGGACTGAGCAGTGAAGAAGAATGCGCGCGAAGACAAATGACACTTCTTTGACTGACTTTCAAGTGAAGCAGAACGTGCGGCAGTTAGTAGAGATAAATTAATGACAGCACTATATCAAATAACAGCGTCAGTTACTATCTGAAAATCGATCAAAATAGATGAAACTTCGGAAAAAGAGTGGGGGAAAGTTGGTTACCAAAGAAGAGAAACAAAGGAAACAATGGGCTGAACACTTCCTAAAACTCGTGAATCGACCAACTCCTGCACTTCGCTCGGAAATACCGCCAGCAGCCCAGCCACAGAACTACAAGTAAACACAAGCACTCCAACGTAAGCAGAAGTAAAGGGCTGAACGCCATGAAGTTGCTGAAATGCGGGAAAGCAGGATCACCAGATGGAATCCCTCCAGAAGCACTGAAAACAGACGCAGTGACAGCAGCCGACATGCTCACATCACTACTACAGAAAGTTTGGAAGGAAGGAAAGGTGGCTGCCTGTCGACTGGAAGAAGGGCTACCTTGTCAAACTCTCGAAAAAGGGAGACCTAAGTCTTTTCAAGATCTGACACGGAATCACGCTCCTGTCCCTGTCCATCTCAGGGAAAGTATTAAGCCGCATAGTCCTGGAGAGACTAAACAATGCTCTGGATTCGAAATTACAACCGGGACAGGGTGCTTGGCTTCAGGAATAAGAAATCAGATTGGGATCAGATTGCAATGCTATGTATCATCATAGAACAGAGCGTAGAATAGCATTCAACTCTCTACCTCAACTTCATCCAGTTTGAATAGGCCTTCGATCGAGGCGTCGACCGAGAAATAATTTGGTAGGCAGTTGCTACAAAACACTACGGCATGCCACAAATCTTGATCAAATTCATTCAACAACTATTTGAAGACGCCACATGCCGAGTAATTCACAATGGGAAGCTCAGTGATGCTTTTGAAGTGAAGACAGGAGTGAAAAACAAGCCCGCCTCCTATCATCACCGATGATATTGCTGATTGTAGTCGACGGAAGCAAACCGTGAGGAGCGAGAAGAGGGAGATGAGCTGGACCATGGAAAAGATCCTAGGAGATTCGGATTTTGCTGATGACTTGTGTGAAATGTAACACTTACTTGAAGATCGACAGGCAAAATCCAACAAGTTGACAGAAGAGGCAGCGAAGAGAAGACTTCCTTCAGGTGAACGTAAAGAAGACAGAGGTGACGATGATACCCAACCAACGCCGCCACTAACAACAACAAGCACCAATCACCATCAACAGCAGAAACCAAAAGGAGGTAGTCTCTTTCTCCTACCTAGGCGGCATCGTTTCAACTGCAGGCTGTGGCAGTGGCACACATGAGGATGTCGACGCCAGGGTCGCAAATACAACAAGACAGGCATTCATTAGCCTGAGACCAGTGTGGAGATCTACTGCACACAGCACAAAGAACAAGATCCGGATTTTTAACACCAACGTGAAGTCAGTGCTGCTATGTGATGGTACACAAACTTGGCGCGTTACGGAAGGCATTTCCAACAAACTACAGACACTCATCAATAACTGCCTAAGCTGGCTCAATACTGAAGATCAGATGGCCAGAATAATGAGAATAAGCTACAAGGAACTCTGTCTGGTGACGAACCAACCAACAACCTATCCTTCAACAAATATGCTGAAGGATATACAGATGGATTGGCATACACTGAGAAAGCCATTCGGAGACATTACGTGCCAGGCCCTCGAGTATAAGGCGTAGTGTAGACGACGAGTTTAGCTTCCGAGGGAGACGTGGAGGAGATGAAGTGAGGAGGAATGAAAGCTTGTGAGCAATCAGATCGTAATCACTAGTAATAATATAATAAAAATAATTATATGTATATATATGTTTCTGTTGGATGTTGAAACTTCGACACCGGTATCTATCCTTGGTTCTCCGCAACCATTCATACTTGTTTGTCAACGTTCCATTGTCAGAATGAAATGCAGCATCCTCTGGTGGCACAGAAATGTGTGCAGGATACTTGCATACCTCGAACATCGCTGACTTGTTAATAGGAGTGATCTTTCACTTGATATTCTATCACAGCTTGACTTCGATTAATGTACTCAACCAAAAACACGATTAGTAATTTACTTGTTTGATTGTCACTTGACTTAAGCTTTCTCTATAATCGGCACATCACTTCACTGGTCACGTGTCTGCTGGTTGCAATGCGATGAAGTATTCACACCCCCACGTTCTTCTAGTTTACTTTATACGATCGGAAGTGGATCCTATCAACTTCCTAATCTCAGAGTCTTCGAATTCGGCCTACAACTCACACACAACAGACATTCTAACTTTATCGCATTATTTATTGGAAAACGAATATTTCTCTTCTGTTAAAGTGCCATTTATATGCTACTTGAAATTCATTGCATCATCCCACACGAACACCTGCAATTAATTCAGATTTCGATAGTATGATTCTAAATACGACCTATCTTGATTCTCAGATGTTGAATCAAAACCAGATTTCGTAATTTCTGGACTAGCTAATGAGATGCTTTGTTCATGCTCATATAGTTACACTGAGATTAGTCATGAAGTACCATGTCCTAAGACTGTTATTTTGTGGTTTGAAAGAGGAATTCACAAATCTTTGATGACCTACTTTATAACATGCTGTGGTATTGTCTCTATGTATCATTTTACTGGCAAATCTGGTTGATGCTTTCTCATTCTGCGTTTAACATAACCGATATCGGGTCACATATTAGCAATTATTTCCGTCTAGTCGGTTGAGATGACTAAATGAATTTACATCATGCAGAATAAAGACACCTCTACTTATAGGCAGCACCTCACTTGAGCTGACTATGTAAGAATGGAACTGCATTGTCTCATAGTAATGAATTTCTGCTTTCTCTCTCTCACATGAACATGAGAATATTACTGGGCCTTTGTAAAAAAAAAAGCGTAAATTAGTCTAATTGTAATAGATTATTTTGCATCGGAAATTTTATCAGGTGTTTACTACTTCTAAAATTACATCAAAAAATCAAACATGTTATAAAGCAGTTAGTAAAATGATTCAATTTCATCTTGTTTCTTTTTTCTCTCTTTCCAGTTTCTTATTAATACCCAATTAAGTACTTTCATATAACATCATTTCTCTGCTTTCCTGAAAAGTAAGGAATAGTATATATTCGACTTTTCTAGGTTATTAACGCGAATCGACAAAAAGGTCATTTTCATGACCGTCACATACATTTGACTATGATGATGATGATGAGAGTGCTTGAATCATGCGTGCTCATTTTGATGCTTGATTGAGGCATACTGTTTACACTGGATGTTGTTAGTTTCCACACGAATGTGATAACGTTTGAATAAGGCCTAACAGGCCTCAATAGGAGTTGGGGAATTTCTGGGTAGCATCCATCACGGATTGATGTCATTTACAGAATCACTGGCGATCTTTTGTTGTCACAATGATAAAAAATACAGAGTGATTCTTTGTGGTGCAGGTAAGTGTGCTGGTGAGATGATTATCACCAGAACTACTTGACCAGACAGTGAATCAATTTTTCTGACTCATTGCTCTCACTGTGGACCAGATCACATTTTTAAATATATTCTATCATTGCACAATCATATAATAGAGTGTCAAGTAACAATTATTCAAGGATATAAATATAACTGTAGTTAGAACTCCACGGCATTGATTCTTCTATTCTCTCCTTGTTCAACATTGAAAATCAGTCAACCATGAAATTATATTTTTGTTTGGAAAGTTTATTTGATGTTATTACAGTTGTATATAAACTCACTTTCAGAAATGTGACTAGACCGTTGCAAGAGGTTCCAAGCTCTAAAATTTGAAAGGTACGATTAATCGGATGAGAAGCTTAAATATATAATCTTGATTTACATCTAGTTGCTTTCGAATGTTCCGTTGTACGAGTAAATCGATTGACAAGCAGTTGCTTAAAAAGGAAGTAGATTTGCAGATAGGAATAACAGGAGGAAACTCTGCAAAAATAGAGTCATTAAAATGATATCAGCAAAGTAGAAGTGATTTATTTATTTCAAAGTTTCTCATCATCTGATAGCCACCTGGAATAATTAGGGTACAGATGTACTGGAATTTGATGGGTCTCGTTCAAATAGTAGTCACAAAAAGACTTAAACCGTACTTGCGAGTGTAGGAAGAAAAAGGAACCAGTCTGCACCTACACTGGTAAGGACTTCTAATTTTAAGAATCAATATGTTCGTATACACCCTAATCGGCTTATGTACCCATATCTTCATATGGCTTCCCTTAATTGACCTTTCTGCCTGGATCCCATTCATCATATTTTCTCAGCTAACGTGAATCATCTGGCTGACTCACATATATTTTATACTGTCTTTCTCAATGTGTAGAAACATGTTACTCCATTTCCCATTCAACTCTGTTCTTCAGTATTCTTTATATATTTCTACATACACTGACTGGCGTGCAGTTACTTCGGTTATATTTATGCTGTGTACTAGTTTGGGCCATCCAAATCTTATCTTGTTTACCGTCTGATGACATGCGATGGAATTGATTCAAATGTGTAAACATTTTGTATAAGTTGAAATTAAAACATTTCCTGCTTTTTGAGCAGTTGATGTAGAAACACAAAGTGTGAGCGGATTCTGCTAAAACTCTTGATCTGTATATATTTACATTTATTCAGACAGAAAGAGTTGTATTGGATTTCTGAAGAAAACCCTGACAACTATTAGCCTTTCAGACTGATTTTTATTGGTTTTTGGAAAACACAGTTTAACAAAATGTTTCGTTCTTCAATTTTATTGTACTCACTTGAATTTACTTCTTGAACTGCCAGTGCCGCAGATAACTTGATGATTAGGTCCTCAAGCTTTTCAAGGTCTGTACGATAGAAGAAGTTAAATTACACAATAGTAATTTTTTAAGAAATTAATCATCCTAACCCTGTTCTTTGATTTCATTCAGTTCAGAGTGGCAGTTAGCGAAAGGAAGCTGATCGACAATGTACTATTGAGGAACGAAAACTCCTCACAGTTGAGAAGCCCTTTATAATATATGTTTGGAAGAATTGACTTTGTCTTTTGAATACAAATTAGGAGAGAGTAACACGCATCATGCATATTCGATTTTTTTATTTGTTCACATTTCCAATCTTCTAAGTAAGCTTGCTGTTGTTTTGATATTTACAATTTCTCGTTTCAAAACAGGATCAAACTGCTCAACTTCTGATGGCAGATGAACTACAATGCAGATGCCTTGATACTGCCACATATTCGTGATGTACCACTCATCTTCATGATGAAGGATAACTTCTATGACACGCGTTTTGTGCTATTTGAAACTCGTCAGCCGGAGGTGCCTGCACCCCAATAAACGCTGTTGTTCTCGCTGAAACTCTCACCTGGTACCAAACCTTTCAAAAGAAAAACGTTTTGTCAAATCGGTAAGTCTTTGATGGCAAGTGACTTCACATGTGTATACCTCGGAACTGCCTGGTGTTTGCATTTAAGATAAATGCAACAATGAGGCGTCCAGACAGGAGGCCATCTCTAAACAGAAATCAAACAATTTTATCTCCTCTAGCAACGGGGAATTAGACGTATCAAGAAGCAACTAACACTCAATGCACAAAATATGATCGTCGTACCCCAGCAACCTGGTGGATAACGCATTGTCATTTGAAACGATGGGAAATGGGTCCGAGTATCAGTAGGGACGCCGTCACTCACTGAGACACAGGAGTATTTAGCTGACGAGTTTTAAATATGCAAAACACTCATCTCTAATTTCTATCCTAATCAGCGAAAGGAATGAAATACCTTGGTGCTGTTCATGATGCATCTGCTGACTGGAACAGCCTGATCGGTAAATTACTGAAAGGTAGAACTATGTTCACATTTCAAAAGACTACCGCAACTGCAAGCATAGGTATTGTAGATGTTATGACGGTGAAGTGGAAAATGAAAGTTGAACTGATATGGATTTGAGCTGATTGCTATTGAAAACATACCTTTGTTGAGGATCCACGATCTAGTAGGCCACTGGAATTCCTCAACTGTTTACTTTGTTTGTTAGATGATGTTCTTCTAATATAGTGGATTACTGTTGGTATTTGATATCTCGAATGTGGTTTCAAGAAATAACACGATGAAAGTTCACCTGTATCAAGTTTTAGATCTTTTCGACAAGAGACCCTAGCAAAGTACATTATTTAAAAGAAGATAATAATTTATATGCCCTGGATTCAATTACCTTCAGTATATTCCGAAGGTAGATCCTTGGGACACTGTCTGTTCTCATAATGATTGCGTACTTCCTCTGTTCAATAAAGAGAAGGAAATGATCGTGACGATGAAAGACAGCCAGAAGTTAAATCATTTTCACTAGTAGATGTTGACTATTTATTCCAGTTAAAAAAACACATCAGAATTCGTACATGCTTCCCGGAAAATGAGAAGATGAATATAATATACGTCACCTGAAATCCCCCGAAAAGAGTGAAAGATATATATTTCACATTCAGTAATCTCTCTTTCTGCAAGTCACCTAATCACCTACATTTACAGGCTTACTGAGAAAAGTGAACTGAGAAAGACAAGTTGTGACCTAACTTAACAGCTCTTACCTCTATATCTAAGATGTAGTATACTGTAGGACAAAACTTCGTTTTCCAATGCACCATAAAATTCTCCTAAAACAGGCAAAATTCAGAATGTGCATTGATATTAGAAATTCCATTCCTCGGTTGACGTAATGATGTAGAAAGATATTTTCAGCTCGTCACTCAAGTTGAACGAACAAATGAACATAAGTTGAATACAAAATGGTGACATTTTACGACGAAATGGAGGAAGTAAAAAAATATTTAAGTGCCTACCATATACACTTAGCATTTTTCCTATTGCGGTTGTAGTGTCTGAAAGTATTTGGTCAAACAGGAAAATGATTCAGCAGACATGCAGGTAAACACAATAATTAGAAAAGTCTCGAGGTTTGTTTGGATTGATTGAGCGCTTTTAAGGAGGTGTTCATCAAAAGCTGATTTCAGATGGGAAATCATCGGAAAAACAAAAGCTATGGACAGCCTCTTCGAATCACTATAGAAAGTCTTAGTTGTGATCGCATGGAAGCGCTAGCATTTAACGATGCAGTAACAGACTTGGATTCCCATTTTCTGTTTTATCCCACATCTGTCACTTCGTGATAATGTGAGCGACGGACTAACAGTTCAGTGGACTAGTATTTGAATTAATATCTGGTGTTGTTGATTTCGCCGGTGATTACTTCTCACTAGACTATGAGGAAAGCACATGGCACATTGTTTATAATAATGTTCCCAAGATAGTGAGCTCAAATTGCAGATTCTTCTACGCGAAGAATGAACCTCTACCAGCACCAATACCGAAATTGCGTCATTTTCCATTCCAAACCAGACGCCAGTCTAACACCAACTAACCGTTGCATATTATTGCCTTCAATACTGATATTACCAACATCATTCACATCCAATGATAATTCCGCTGTGCAATAATAATATTGCACTGCGAGTGAATATGTTGAAACATTACATGTTGATAATCCCACATTACATCAGAAATATTGCTTGAAATAATGTTATTACTAATAATATTGCCAGATGGACTTTATCAACGCGATAAATGCACAGACAACTATAGATTTAACTTTGTGATTCTTAGGACTGAGGGCTTGGAGTCCCGCAAATTGAATATCTCTTGCTTATTTAATGATCTGTGTTGAATATCATCCATACTTTGGTTTCATGAAGAGTTTACGGATAAATATATTGTGAACTACATTTGAACTATTGTTTTAGAAGAGTCTTGATTACTTTTGGTTCATTGATTACCTCTATTAAAAGTCGTGAATGGGAGCAGATTAGTAGTAATTCGTTTCGTCTTCAACACATGACACTTGATATCTCTTAACTAGAATAGTTCTCAATGATGAGAAGGTAATTCCGACTTGTTTGCATAAATATTTTGAAATGGTTAGGTTCAAAGTTATGTAGCAAGATGATCAGATAACAAAACATTTTATTCCAAAAAATATCCGCTAACCTTTAAAGACTTCTGGTAGGAGAATCATCATATAAAGTTCAAACGTGCAATCTTTGACTAAATATATGATGGTTTATTTTGAATCATAAGCATTTACTTACACTTTTGGAAATTGGCAGTTTCATTGCCTAATCGTTGTTTAATTTGTTCTACAACAGAAAGAGAAATCACATGTGATTTCGAGGAGAGATAGTGTGTACTTTACATAAATATCTGAAAAAATGCATCAGGGCCATGATTAAGTATGATGAATATGAATCTCAAATTCTCTATCTCTGAATGCTGTATTCATACATTTTACATAGTTTGGAAAATAACTTTTTAAACATCGATGCCTTTATCAACAGTGCTGACTATGCATACAAAGAATGAAAGCCATATATTACAAAATTCACCTATGACGTTACCTAATCTGGTCAGTAGCACACCCGCTATGAGATGTCTGCATTAAGAGAATACGCTGTTTGGTATTTGAATGCAATTTATCAAGCAGTGACATAATCGATCAATTGTTCCAAAAATATTTCGTTCTATTTTCACTTATTTTTTGAATTTGAACAGTGTAGAAAAAGAATCCATCATAATTATCGATAGACATATCAGTGCATGGGATGCAGTTTGAAGTGGTAAGAAAACGATTTAACGTGAGACTATCTGACAAGGACAGGATTTAGGAGACTCGTTTTTTTGATACTGGGTGATGATTGGATATGAAGTGGAAATCTCTCATTGCAGGATTCAAACCAGTAACTCCTTAATTACCGACACTGAATCACCTGCGGGACACTGCTGTTGACTTGATCTCAATTTCACTTTCAATTCGCAAGAATCATTTATGGGAAACATAAACAATGTTATCAAATGAAATGTTATTTCTTTGAGAATCACATGGGCATGCCTTACTACCTTCTAACTCTTTCATGAGAATTCTGGCAGTTTTCACAGACTTTCGATTTTCTGCAAGCATTGCTACGGGAAAGAAAGGAGATAGAATAAAGTTATTGTCTTCCTTCGAAAATTCTCTGGAAACAAAATAGTATACGAATCATTTGAAATTGGTATCACCGGTCTATGATTGTATTTTTAGCCTACTTCTATAAATATTTACTCAGAGACGATGTTCTTAAATGATATTGATGCAAGGATTACAGAGTTTTGGACACCATGCTGAATGGCAAGAGCCCAGAACCACAAAGCCTGAGTAACTCTGAGCTTCCTGTCATTCGCTTCGAATCATCTAAAATCAATCGGGGAGCGCTGTGATGCGAAGTATCCTGGATCAGTAACCACATTCCAGAATGCTTGATCACCACGTGTACTCGTTAAATTGCTATTGCTTGCTACGGAGTAACATAACAGTGAATAGAAAATTTATGAGGGTGTTATTCATAGTGAACTGACATCATTTGGCGAACCATCGAAAACCTGGGAGCACTGGAAAGCTGTTTCTTCCAGGCCACTTGTATATGCACTAAAAATATATTCTTAAATTCCGTTTTCTCTCAGTGGTGTGTGTATGGAATTATGCGTCATGTGCCCAATCATTATTTCAAAGGAATCATGATTATCGACATGAGTTCAAACGAGGAGATGACTCTTGATGTATACATGGAATAATAACAAGTTATGCACATCTCACTTCCATATTTCCCACAAAATTCTTCAACTTTAGATATTTCTCTGTCAATCACTGGGCATAAAATGAAGAAGGAAAGAAATATAGCTCACAAAGATTTTGTAATGTGAATGAACTTGGAATGTCTACGTAAAATTTTCTTTTAGTGTACCCTGGTGGCAGGATCTTGCGTGAAATTTAAAAGGTTATGAATCAATCAGTGTGTGATAGTTGAACTATGTCATAGTTAGTTGTAACTTTCCCCCCCCCAAAGTCAACAAAATACACTCAGTGAGATTAGTGCTAAGAAGCAACAGTACAGTTCACAAGATGTTAGTTAGATTCAAGTATGTGGTAGGTGGTTATGATCAAATTGTAGCTCATGTATAACCAGCTGTGTTACATCCTGAATCCTCTAAAGGTTTGGCGTCAACTCATAAATGATAGTTGCATTGAACATCCAAAAACCACGCTTAGATCAAGAGAAAGTAGTTTTCCTCGACCTGAATGCATAGTTTACGGCGTCACTAACTATATTCATTTCCTATCAACCATCTCATTCATTCCTCTTCTCATTGACAAGCCAAGGAACCTGAAGTGATACACTCAAACTGAAGTTAAATTTCTATTGTTTTAGCTAAATTCTGTTAACGAACAATTCACAGTGAATATCTCTCATGAAATGCATATGAAGCCTGGTTGTATTCATGTTTCTGTATGCTGGTGGTTGGTTGTAACTGGTGCTATCGCTAAGGGGATTCATGTTTATGATTGATAGTTGTTTGTTAATTGGTAATTTATTCAAGTAAATTTTATTTGCAGTGACAAGTGACATTCAAAATACTCTGTATACCAGCAGTCAATCGAACTGATGAAGCCTGTTCCAAATCACCTTGATGATTACTGGTTAACAATATTATTAAATATAGTCATGTTTTACAGCGGACGATGTGAGATTGAAGTTGAACGGAACACCTGTCTCACTGCAGCGATTCAAGTCAAGAGCAGCTCTTTTGAATCCCACCTTAACTCAGTGTACTAGTTCACTGCCAGTCATCTTCGGGGTAGCAATAATAACATTTTGATCATTTAATGTCACAGGAAATCTGATTGCTAGAACGTTTTTACTGCAATCAGTCCTCAGTGATACATATAGTTGGGAAATTGTGGTGCAAATCAGAATGCAGCATATTGGACAACTTTATTTTTCTTCTTACCAGTTATATTCCACTCATCTTAAAAGAAATATACACGTATGCAGAAAAATTAGAGTATATATTGACACGCACTGCACTGAACTGTACTCACTTTGAAGACACTAAAAAGAGATGTTTACGTGCACATTGTGATTTTCTAACCATGAATTGACCATGACTTAACCATGACTAACCATGACTTAGCTTTGATTGTTCAGTGTGAAATTGTAGTGACAAAAGTTTCCACACACAGGGTTTCATCTTCATTCTTCTTTCTTTAGTGTTTTTCTACTTTTTGTCTAATTTTTCCTGCAGACTTACTGTTTTTTCACTGTTATTGCGGCTATCGTCACTATCACTCCCCATGTTTCACTTTGAAATAGACAGGCTCTTATCTTACTATGAGCTGCTCTTCGAACAATTCCCAGTGTTATTCTTGCCACATAAATAGCACTACTTCTACAGTTAGCGTTGGGTGCCTTAATAACAAGCTAGTAGTGCTCCAATCTTTTGTTGATTTTCAATGTTCCATTCGATTACTGTATTCTGTCATCGCAACGACAAGATTGAAATTTTTAATGTTGTCTAAATACAGTCTAGACAACTGCTCCACCCTTTCTACTGCCCTACCCATAATGTCCCCACTGGTGATCTCCAGGTCGCCTCATCTTAAATTGGTACTACAGATTGTAATACGTGAATAAAACGTACATCTGTTCTGAATCTCTCTATTTGTGTGTATAGAAAAGTGTACAGGGTATTCAGTTAAAATCCGCATAAATTTGTCTCCTGTTTTACATGTTTATCAGAAATGTCATTGCATTATCTTAATACATTCTATCTTTATCTTACCAAATGACATGCCTTCTTCGTGAAAGAATCAAAAAAATTCATAAACAAAAAAAGGTTCAAATCTAGCATTAATCAACATTTTACTATTTACAAAACCTGTCCATCTCGTAGACATAAATGCTTACATCCACACAACACAAAAATCGATTTTATTGTGACCACCCTTCTTAGTACAATATGGATCTAAAATATGCTGATGCATGATGAGTCCTTTCAATCTTGACCACAGCATGTGACTAGCAAAAGGAGACATCATAAAATCACATAGGCTACCGAGAGATCAATGAAAATATCTGCCTTCCTTAACGGGTTCTATATTGGCAGGTGGTTGTTCTACCAAGTTTTGAAAACAGTAGTGCAAAGCCATTAATTGACGAGATTTTGGTTTCCAAATGCTATTTTTAAAGACATTTTGAGGGCAAATGCTTGTTGAACACCAGAAATGAACTCCAGTTCCACAATAAAGTTCAGTTGAAAACTCTTATTAAGATGTTTTCAATGACATGCCTATATTTTTGACACGTGCAAATACAAATACACAGGTACAATCACTTTCAGTGATGGTGCTACCAAAGTTAAACTTCTCATGGGGTGAGTGTCGATTGTTAGGAACCTGCGGTTGCAGGTCGTTAGCACTCATTACTGAGGCAGATGTGAAGCCATGCTGAAATGGGTTTTCTCTCGGTGAGTCCTATCTGCACCACTCTGTGTCCAAGTCAGAGACTCCAAGTCACTATGCTCTTCAGGCTACCAATAATCCCTTGTGGAACTAGGAATTGTGCACGAGTTGATCACCGTGTGTAACAGATTAAGCCATCTAGTTGTTTGTGCTCAGCACGGAAAAAAAGCAGGGTTGCTTCATTTTGTTTGGTGACCATTTTGAAAAACTTGATTGCTAGACTTTGATCAGTGCCAATCAAGCATTTGGAACTGGACACTGATGTCGGTTACTCACTGATGAACTACGCATGTGCATCATCCCAAGAAACAGTAGTATTCAAGACATCGAATTCTGTTGGTTACCCTGAAGAAATACAATGCGAACGCACTCCCTGCATTCGAATTGTAGTCATTAACTAACAGTTGTAGAGGGACTTATGAATCGGAGTACAATCATACTGTGCATCTATGTTTTCTGCTGATTGATTGTAAAGGAAATGAATGAGTGATAAGGAAACTGATAATTGTTACAAACAGAGACTTCAAAAACACCAGCTATAACGGTAATAAAAGTATAATGAATAAGTGA